TGACCGGGGGGGCTCCACCGGCAGCGGGCGTCGGGGGGGAGCGGTGGGGATCCCCCTGGGGCGGAGCGGGAGGGGGAAGCGGTGCGCGGTGCCTGGCCCCGGAGGTGCGGGGGGGTGCGGGCAGGCAACAAGGCAGGACCGGGCAGCTCAGCGCCCGTCCCGGCGCCGCCCGCTCCTGGGGCGAGGAGATCCCCCCCTCCCGGTCCCCTCCATCCCTCCGGCCTCCCGGGGGTCTGGGGGAGAGATGGGGCGAGGAGCGTCCCTCCGGGCTGCCCCGCTCTCCCCCCCCCGGGGGGGGCTGCCCGCGGACCTTTCACCCGAGCCGGTGTTTACAGCCGCGCACGGCTCCGTGCCCACGCCGCCGGGATGCGGCCGAGCTTGTTCATCCTGCTCTGCCCCTGGGGAAACTGAGGCACGGGTGGGTGGGGACGGCGGCGCTCCCCGGGGAAGGCCCGGCTGGGGGCCGCCCGCCTCCCCGCCAGCCCCCGGCACAGCTTGCCCAAACCGGAGCCACCATGGGGGTCCCACATACCTGCCCGAGTGGGTGTTCGTGGACCCCACGGGGATTGGCTGCAGGGGAGCCAACCCCAGAGCCCCTGCCCTGCCTGGCTGCAGGCACAGGAGGTTTGGGGTCCCCCTGTCCCAGCACCCTGAGCTGTGGGGTGCTCCTGCCATCCCCCCCCACTCTCCTCTCCCCACAGCGCTCCGACCCCCGCCTGCTCTCCCAGTTCTTCTTTGCTGATGAGAAGGTGACACGGGTGGTGGCCGAGATCAATGGGCTGGATGCTGAGCTGGACCCGCAGCAGTACCTGGTGCTCCTCAACCAGCTCCACCTCAGCCAGGTACGGGGGCAGCCTGGGCCCCAGAGTGACCCCCGTCTCCCTGAGGGGCTGGGGGTGATGACCCTGCCCTCCCCAGGCTCAGCTGCTGGCCATCCTGGAGCGGATCATGGAGGAGTGCATCCCCACGCAGCGCCACAGCCGCGACTACCTGGTCAAGTTCCCCGAGGAGCTCTTGGTGGACAACCTGGGGAACCACATGCTGTTTGCCGCCGAGGTGAGCCCAGGGGGTGCCACCCCAGGGTGGGTGATGGAGTCTGGCTCCCCCAGGCTGGGGGGTGATGGGTGCCAGCCAGGGTGGTGCACCCCACCGTGGGCTGACCCCGTGGGTAGGGGCTGCGCTGCCCCACGCGCTGGCTCCTGATGGCCCCTGGTCCTGGCAGTGTCTCCTGGCTGGGACCTTCCTGGAGGTGGAGGAGGCGGACGGGGCGCAGCTGCGGCCCAAGGCCAGGAACCTGCTGTGCAGCCTGGAGCTGGTGCGGACGGTGCTGCGGGAGCAGAGCTTGAGCCAGCCCAGCTCCTACCCAGAGCCCGTCCGGACCGTGCTCGTCCAGTTTGACCGGCTCTTCGCAGAGTTCGAGCTGAGGTGGGGGCCTGGGTCAGGGTGCTGGGTTGCAGGGGGGGGGGATGTGCCAGGGCTGGGGGAGCCTCACGTTACCCCCCGTCTCTCCAGCTACGTGTCCTCGCTGGTGGCAGTGAAGTCTCCTGAGGAGATCTACAGGCAGCAGGAGATCATTGTGCTCTTCTGCGAGACAGTGGAGAGGTGAGGGGCACCGCGTACCAGGTTGGGGGGCAGCAGGGACCCCAGCCCTGGGGAACGGGGCTGCGTCTCAGGGCTCGGCCCCATTGTAAGGGTGTCATCCCCCACAGAGCCCTGCGCCTGGGCTACCTGACCCAGGAGATGATTGATGGCTATGAACCGCTGCTGATGTTCACCATCCCTCGCCTGGCCATTATCAGGTGGGTGCAGCCCCCTGGGGTGTGGCTGGGTGCTCCCCCCCTGTACCAGCCCCTTCCCCCTTTCAGGGAGTTGGGTCCTGGGCAACCCCCCCATGTGAGCTGGGCTCTGTCCCCTCGCAGTGGCCTCCTCATCTACCCTGAGGGTCCCCTCAGCCTGGAGCAGAGCCCTGAGCAGATGTCCCGAGTCTTCAGCCCCTTCTACAACCTCCTGAAGAAGATCAGGTAGGTGGCAGGGGGGCAATGGGTGCTCGCAGGTGGGGCTGTGGGGCCATGACATGGGGCTGACACTGTCCCCTCACCGCAGGGACCTGCTGCGGGTGCTGTCGGTGGAGGAGCTCTGCCTGCTGGAGAGGAGCCTGTGCACAGCCGAGTCGGAGGATCCCTGCGGTCCAGCCACCCCCTCAGCTTGGGGGGCAGCCGTACCCAGAGCAGATCCCCCTGCTTCCTGGGGTCTCCTGGAGGTCCCCTGCACCACCCCACCACCCTCCACCTGCACGGCACGGGTGGGACCCCCTGGCGTTGTGGATGACCTGGGCACCAACCGGCGGTGGGGGTGTGTGGCACGGAGGGAACGGGGGTCAGGATGGCAGATCCCTGCCTGCTGGGACGGGGCCTTTTTGTGCCACCCCTGGGGTAACCATCACCTCCCCCCTGTGCAGCCCCCAGCCCCCCAGGAGCAGCTCGGGGCTCGATGCCTCCCCAGGTGCCCACTGCTGGGAGCTGCGCTCCCGCTACAGCAGCACCAAGGACATGCTGCACACCCTCTTCGTCTGCATCTCGGGTGAGTGACCCCCTCGCCACCCCCCACAGCCCCCTCACCCTCCCAGCACCCTGACCCTCCACCCCCCCCAACGCAGGGGTGGCCGATCAGCTCCAGACCAACTTTGCCAGCGACCTGCGGAGCATCTTGAAAACGGTCTTCAAGATCGTCGCCTCGCAGACAGAGCCCTTGGAGGAGCCAAGTGCCAGCCGTGAGTGACCCCCAGGGACCCGGGGGGGGCGGCTCCTCTGCCCTGCAAGTTGTCCCTCCTGGGTGAGACGAGGCCCTTTGCGGGCACTGGGACAGCACAGCCAGGCTTGGCTGGACCACCCCAACCTTTGTCCCTGCAGAGGAAGAGGATGGTGACCCGTGTGCGGCAGATGCTCCTCGCCTGGCCGACTGTCCCCTGTGCTCCAGCCCCACAGAAGCTGCCGGGCTCCGGAGGACAGGTAAGGGGCTGCCCGGGGTGACATGGCCCTGGAGGGGAGGGGGGGTCCAGCTGCCCAGGCACTGGGGGGGACATTCGCTGTGTCCTGCCTTGTGCTGGATGAGCAGAGCAGCCATAGGGTACCCAGGGGGGCTGGGGACGTTCTTGGGGCTGGGGTGGAGGGGACCCCCATGGCTTTTAGTGTCACTTATTGCCCCTCAGGTGCCCGCTGCCTGCCCGAGTGGGTTCCGGACAGCACCTGCAGCCAGTGCTCTGCCTGCCGCTCGCCCTTCACCCTGCTGCGCCGCCGGCACCACTGCCGCAGCTGCGGGAAGGTAGGAGGGGAGGGGGACGGGCTGGGGTGCAGTGGGGGTATCCCACCCCCCCAGGGGGGGTAACCCATCTCTGCTGAGCCCCGCTCTGTCCCTCTCCCCACAGATCTTCTGTGCCCGCTGCTCGCCCCACGCCGCGGCGCTGCCACAGTACGGCCAGGCCAAACCCGTGCGCGTCTGCACGCACTGCTACACCGCCCACCTCTCGCCCCACGGCGCCCGGAGCCACTGAGAGACACACCCCCAGTGCCACCGAGAGACCCCCGGTGCCAGATTCTCATCCCTAGGAGACTGCAGCCCCCTGGGACACACACACACACACACACACACAGGGGTGCAGTGGGGGTATCCCACCCCCCCAGGGGGGGTAACCCATCTCTGCTGAGCCCCGCTCTGTCCCTCTCCCCACAGATCTTCTGTGCCCGCTGCTCGCCCCACGCCGCGGCGCTGCCACAGTACGGCCAGGCCAAACCCGTGCGCGTCTGCACGCACTGCTACACCGCCCACCTCTCGCCCCACGGCGCCCGGAGCCACTGAGAGACACACCCCCAGTGCCACCGAGAGACCCCCGGTGCCAGATTCTCATCCCTAGGAGACTGCAGCCCCCTGGGACACACACACACACACACACACACAGCCGCTGCGGGGCTGCTGGGCAGTTCGACGTGGGCACGGTGGCAGGACCCCCCCCTCCACTGCCACGCACGGGAGCAGGACCCCCGCATGCACGGCGGCGGCCGGTGCCCCACGTCGGTCGGTGGGCGCAGGACCGCCTCACCCGGTGTGCCGTGACCGAGCCCCCCGGTGCCGCCGTGCGCCCGCCCCCTCTCCCCCCCCGCGGCTGGAAAGGTGCTTCGTGGTGTTTTTTTTTTTTTTTTGGGGTTTTTTTTTTTTTTTGGGTTTTTTTTTTTTTTTTTTTGGGGGGTTTTTTTTTTTTTTTTTTTTTTTTCTAAAATATCATCGTCTTGTGTGACCTCACGGGTGGGCTGGGGGGAGGCTTGGGGGGGCGCGCCCCCTCCATGGGGAGGCGTGGCTGGAAGGGGCGGAGGGCGTGGTCTAGAGCTAGGGGGCGTGGCCTATGGCTCACGGGGGCGTGGCCTGTGGCTCGCTGGGGGGCGCCCCCCCCCCCCCCCCCCTCCCCCCCCCTCCAAATTTA